TGGTCTTGACTTGTAACTAGATCCTAGTGATGCTTCCCATTTCTCCTCTCTCCTTCCCTTGCCTTCTCTTGTACCAGGAACAGGGGCTGGCTAGCAAGGTTCATGAGGAAAGAGGTCTGTGTACAGTCAGCATATTTCCCTGGGCTCCCACAGGAAAACATGCAAAAGCCGTGCAACCAAAGTGTGCAGCCCCCTCCAGCTTGCTGGCTTGTCTGGCACACATAACTGGTTCACTTTCAAAATAGCAGTAAGGAAATGGATAGAGGGTGAATTTGACCCTGGATATGTAGGAAGTGATGAGAACATCTTTTAAAGCCCTGCAGAGTCATCCTGTGCATCCAAGCAGAAGCCCTACAGTTGGGAGGGGCAGGGTTTCCTGGGATTGCAAGCCAACCTGATTTGTGTTGGTGGAGCTGGGATGCTTTTTGTGTACAGCAGAGTTGCTGCAAGAGGCCTTTTGCTCTCTGTCCCTTGCAGAGCAGCTCGTGTGGCGTGCTGCCCGCTGCAGCGGTGCAGCTCCCACTTATTTCCGACCCATTGGCCGTTTCCTGGATGGAGGGCTGCTGGCCAACAACCCCACCCTTGATGCCATGGCAGAGATCCATGAGTACAACAAGACACTGATCAAAAAGGTGAGGGAGGGAAATCCTAGCCTTGACTGGTAACTGGAGTTTCTTGGCCCCACTGAGCCTCTCTTGAAGAAGTGAGTGTGAGAGTGGATGCATCTTAGTGGATAAACAAGTTAGCAGTGCAGCACTCCCAAAAGGGAGTGTATGGAGGAGGATATGTGTTGGGAACAGTGGCTGGGAGGTGAGATATCTCTTCTAACAAGGGTGTGAGAGGGGGAGATAGTCTCATCAGCCTCTCCTTGCTTTGAACAAGGATGGTTCAGTTGATAGCTGGGTGTGGCTGTTGACATGGCTCTGCAGGGCCTTTTTCTGCCCAAAAATAAATGGAGAAGACAAGGGCAAGGTATTCTGCAAGGCTGAAGAGTGGATGCCTTCTGAGGTATGGCAACTTCTTAAAAAAGTTGAATAACCAGTGGCAGCTAACTGCTCCCTGTAACTGAAAGGGGAGGTGTTTGCCAAAATGACTGAAGAGTTGGACTGCTTCATGGCCATCTGGTCCTAGGACTCATCTCCAGGGTGGTCCCATGGGTTTGAGTGTGGTCAGGGGAGAAGGGACAGAGCAGTACAACTGTTGAAGTCCTGTGGGTTACAGCTGTCTCACCAGGCCTTACTCAGAGGGAGGATGGGGGAAGAAAAGGCTGTTGAGCCTTTTGCCTCGGCTTTCAGGGCTTCCCCAGGAAGCTGCTGTGAAAGACATGCTTCACTTTCATTGTTGGTCATTGCAAACAGATCTTTTGTTTGTCCTCAGGGTCGGAAGCAGGAAGTGAGAAAATTGGGGTTGGTGGTCTCCCTGGGAACAGGGAAGCCTCCACAGGTCCCAGTGAGCTCTGTGGATGTTTTCCGCCCCTCAAACCCTTGGGAATTGGCGAAAACCGTCTTCGGGGCCAGGGAGCTTGGCAAGATGGTGGTGGATTGTGTGAGTACTGGGAGGAGGGGATGGCAAAAGACCCCTGGGGTTGCTTGCGGGGAGGGAGAAAATGTTTCCAGTTTCCTCCTTTTGGAAGTAAATTCTATTTCCTTGGAACTGCTCTGGCCATGGATGTAGTGGGTGACTTAAGAATTGCAGGAGTACTGCAGGCCTGAAGATCTATCTGATTCTTTGGGGGTTTTAGTGCCCCAAAGGGACACTCATGCCCAAGGGATATTTTTGCAGCTGAAAGGAGCTAAGGACAGGATGGTAGTTAGTGACTCTTGGGAACATTTGCAGGTTTGAGTTTGTGAAACTCAGTATCTTTCCAGGAAGTGTTGTTTATCATCTGAGCAACATGGGGAAAAAAAGATCAGGAGCACTGTCCTTATATTAAAAATAAAGAAGAAAAGCCACCCAACTCTTGGTGGCAAGCAGTGCCGTTCAGGATGCCATTGTTTTTATTTTCCCTCTGGGACTTGTGCAGTTGGACTCGGTGCCAGGGAAGCCTGTGGTAGGCAGGGGAAGAGCAGCCAGGCTGTAACTGCGGGCCTGTTTCTCCTGCAGTGCACTGACGCAGATGGCCCAGCTGTGGATCGTGCCAGGGCCTGGTGTGAGATGACGGATGTCCCATATTTCCGGTAGGAGCTTCCTTTCCGCTCTTTTGCACAGACCTATTTTTATCCCTCTCGCTTCAGACCTGGCTGTGGCATGCGTCATCCCAAATGGCATCCCCTCCAGAGGCGTGCCTGTGCAGACCTGCCCCCTGCACGCGCCTCAGTGACAGCATGGAGAGTGCCCTGGCCCTCCACATGACCTGAGGCACCCAGCACGCCTGGTCTGGGCTAGCTAAGGGAGATTTGGGAGGTGCTGTCTTGCACGATCCTTTGGGATGTGCATCCTGCCCTGTTCCACCCTGCACAGCCTGTTTTAGACTTGTCCTTCGTGTGCTGCAGTTGCTTTGCTGTGGCTGGGCCTTGAAGGAGGGGGAAGGCCTCTGCTCTGCAAGCCTGACAGATGAAGGGCCAGCGAGCGCCCTGGCTGTGGGAGCTGCTTGATGGAAATGTCCTGCTTGGCAGGCTCGTGCCTGGCCACCTCCGTGTCTGTGCCCAGCTGGTGATGCTGTCTCGCTGTCCGCAGGCTCAGCCCTCAGCTGCACACAGAGGTGATGCTGGACGAGGTGAACGACGCCGTGCTGGTGAATGCTCTGTGGGACACCCAGCTCTACATCTACCAGCAGCGGGAGCAGTTCGAGCAGCTGGTGCAGTATCTCTGCCGATGACTGACCTGGAGATTCCCGCTCTGCGTTCTGAAGGCAAGGAGCAGCAGATGCTGAAATGGCTCAGATTTACCCTTGAGCCAAGGTGTTGAGGTGGGGGAGAGACCTGTAGTAGTCGAGAGGAGTTAGTATTGAATAGACAACAGTGCACATACACATGTATTCCCAGACACAGAATGTATGACATGTATGATAGCTGTGAAATGCTGACAGTTATCTTTGTGCTGTAAACCCATCTCTGCTGCTGTGCTTGGTTTTGCTGCCGTGCTCTCTGACCCAGAATCCAGAGCCCTCACCTACTTGTCTTGAGCTGTAGCAGCTGGAACATCTCCGGTCTGTGCAGTAACTCCACTGACAAAGCACCGTGCACCTTCCTGTGTCACAGAATGGGCCTAGGCCTGATAAAGCTTCAGGGATTGCTTGGCCCACTGGGCCCAAGGTATTTCAGGTTGTATAGTATGGGAAAAAGGGATTATTTTTCCTTCAACACACCCAGTTTGGAGGGGAGCAGAAATATGCTGCAAGTTTTTGCAGTAGGTATGATACAGAAAGTTGCAGCTGGCCTTGGGAGAAGGGCAAGCCTTTCCTGAGACAGTTGTCTTCTGCAACAGCTTCTCCTTTCCCCTCTGAGATGGGCTGGCAACACTATGCCTGGGGAAGGAGCAGCCTCCCCACCCAGGACTTTATTGTGCCACTGATTTGCTGTGTTACACTTTGCTCAGGGGCTGAGATGTGAAAGCCTGTCTTTACTCACAGCAAGCTCAGTGGAAGGGACAAAAGCCTTGGCTTGGTAGAGAGATCATTTCTCTTTATTCTTAACATGTAACTGAAATGCTCTAAGATCGGTTCCCAGCAAAGAAGCCAACCCTGTGACAATTTGGATTTACTTTTTTATTACAACTGGAAATTCTACTGTGATTGCTACACCACTCGTTGTTTCTGCAGTAATTTTTGCATATTTATAAATAATTTATGTATTTGTCTGAAGGTGTTTTGAAGAGTAACCTGAAAAACTGAATTTGTAATGTTTTCCTTTTGAGTGAATGTTTTTCTTTTGAGTGCTGCTGCCTGTTTCTGTGAGAAACTAACATGTCTTAAAATAAAGAGGGATTTGCATTTGGTTCCAATGTCATATAGTCCGTGGTGGTCTTTTCTTTCTCTCCATCCTCCAAATTCTCAGAGGGGTTCTAGGCTTGCAGACTCTGCATTTCTTACAAGTCTTACAGAAAATCAGAAAAGGGGCTCCTTGAGACACAAAGGGTATAAATCCTGTATGGGCTGAAGAGGTGAATGAGCTGTCCCTGCAGCCAGCCCTGGGAGCACGTGGGTGGTGTGTGAGTGGCTGGTTACCCCACAGCAGTTGCAACCAGAGTAGAGGCTTTGGACCAGCTGCAATATGAGGATCCTCTTGGAGCTGTCCAGGCCTAAAAAATAAAGCAATGGGTTTTTCTTGATCCATCTCTTCCCAGGCATGTGCCCAGAAGAAATCACAATGGCAGTGCTGGTCCCAGCTCACCAGAGGTGAAACCTGGGAAAGGGTTCAGACAGAAGCCTGTTCCTGCTGTTAATAGAGTTTCAGTGGCAGTGGGAGGGAGGCTAAGTGCCAGAGCCTGGGGTGGGGGAATTTGGGCAGGGGAGAGCTGAAGTTTCTGTAGAGCTTTCCTTGCGTTCCCCCCTGCCTGCTGCTCTTTGCTGCCTGTGATCAAAAGCCGATAGGGAACTCCTGACTTGAGAGAGAGCTGAAGATGCCTCACTGGCTGGGCACGGTGAGGCTGAGCAAGCCACGTCGGAGCGGTGGCAGTGCCGCCGGCAGCGAGCCATAGGCGGTGACTCGGGCAGGTGGCCGGCGCCGCAGGTGTCAGGACAGGCAGAGCTGGGTACCAAGCTGGCAATCAATAATGCAAAGAGGCGGTCACATGTCCTTGCTGGCTGTCGCAGGATTCCTCTCTCCCCCCCAGAGTCTGGTTACTTCCAGAGATCAAGTTCCAGCCTCTCGGCTGGTGAATTATTAAACTCCATCAGTGCTCCCTTTGTACCACGTCTGTGTCTTCCTGCTGTCCTTTCTTGCTGGTGACAGGCTTCTTCCATCCAGCTGGCTGTGCAGAAGCAGAGTCCTCCAGGCCAGAACAGCACCTTGTACTCTCCTTTGCTCCTTGCTTCTCTGTGGGAGAGGGAATAGGCTCCAGAGATGGATCTGTCCTACAGATCCACCATCTCCATCTATAAGGTGGGTGTTGGCATCAAAGGCTGCTCCCGACAGCATATGGGAGACCTGTGGGTGGGAGATGAGTGTTTTCTGCCAAGGGCTCTCTTGGGTGGACAGCTGAGGGCTGAATCCATTCCCAGGCTGTACCACAGCAGCTCCTGTGGGCTCCAGGCTGTGGGAGCAGGAGGAGAGGGTGGTGTGGGTCCTAAGGGCAGATTCAGGAAGGAACTGGGCAGCCAGGGTGGTTTGGACATGGAGCATGAAGGGTGACACACCTTGGTTGCTGGCAGAAAGAAGTTTGATCGGCTGTTTCACTCCTCCCTTGAAAGAGTCTCTGATCTCATAAATACTTCCCTACACACATCAGTGCTGAACCAAGGTGGGGGAAGGGCTGACAGAAGTGGGGATATGCTTATTCCGGTCTCTGTCTTCTCTGTAGTCAATGGACACCTTTGATAAATGCAAATAAAAGCAGAGAAGCTGGTTATCCATCCCTCCTCTTACTATGCTGCTGAGTCTGGCAGTGCACCACATCCTGGCCAGGAAAGGGTTGTGTTTGTGCCTGGATAGTAAGCAGTGGCCCTCTGCCTGGCTGTGGGGTGAGGGAAAAGGCTGCTCAGATCCTCTTGCAGTTACTCCCCTGCCTGCAGTGGGTGTGGGCCCTTGTGAGAAAGCCATCTTCATTTAGGCAACCACTTGGCTCTGCAGTTGGCTACCTTGCCCTCTGGCGCGGCTCCTCTCCTGGCTGGCTTGGCTAAGGGCAGCTGAAGTTGCCAGCCAGCCCCGATGCAGGGAGCTGGCTGTGCTTGGCTGTACATGGCCTCCATTCCAGGGCTCCAGAGGGGGCTCTCACCCAGCCCAACCACAGCACAGGGGCCTTGACCTGCTGAGGTCTCTGGGCATGAGGAAGAATGGCATTAACGTGCTTCTGCCTGGCCACAGAGTATCCTGGAGCAGTTCAACCCTGCGCTGGAGAACCTGGTGTACCTGGGGAACAACTACCTGCGTGCCTTCCACGGTGAGTGGGGTCCCACACAGCCAGGGCTCCAGACCAGAGTGCTGCATCCAGCCTGGCCATCCCCTATCCCCTCACCCAGGACAAGAGTGCTGGTCTGCCACCTCTGGCATGTCAGCACTCTTCAGCTCCAGGACCCACTGCCAATGGGGAGAGATGGGATGCCTGTAGGCAAAGTAGCAGGAGGTGGCTGTTCTGTGCGCTGCTTGCTGGAGCTGGTGATGGTGGGAAGGCAGGCCAGACCCTTATCACCCCTCTCCTCTCCCCACAGCATTGTCCAAAGCAGCTGAGGTGTATTTTAAGGCAGTTGAGAAGATTGGGGAGCAAGCACTGCAGAGTTCCACCTCACACATGCTGGGTAAGGCCCTCTTGCACATCATGTCCCCTTCCCTGTGGTAAGTCACCACAGTTAGCTTTTGTATTACCCTCTCCCTTAGTTGGTACATTTCCAGGTACTGGGGCAAGAAAGACAGCTCCTAAATGGTGTCTCTCTGTACCAGGCACTGTCCAAAACTTACTGTGTGTCCTTGAATACATTGCACAGTCCCAGCACTCTTCCCTGTGTCTCTCTGAGATCAGTGAGTGAGGTCAGCTGCTGTGATGGGCCTCCAGGGATGGACCTCCCACAGAAACCAGTCCCTGTTGAGGCATCCTGCCCCCAGAGATGAAATTTTCATCACAGAAGAAGCATTTTTCTCCTCCTTGGAGGTGTGAGGGAAAAGCCAGGGAGCATGCACTGACAACAACTGATGGTGTTTTGTCCTCCTGAGCCTGCAACTGACTGGAATGGCAGCTTGGAGCTGAGGGGCTTACACTCAGCACTGTAAATAACTCTGCAGCCTGGTGGCAACTGCTGAAAAGTCAGGGAACTGCTCCACTGCTAAACATTTTAGCAAAAATGCTTCCAGCAGATGTGCCCCTTCTGCAGACACTTTTTATCATCTGCACCTCCCAGCTAGCTCCTCTGCTCCCCTCATCAGTCTCTTCCTTTCCTGATTTCATAATGCCAGCATTGGTGAGACAGGACCATGCACAGCACTGGGGTGGGTGCTGAAACTGCCTTCCCATAGGACAGCCAGAAATGTGCATCACAGCTGGGGAACCTTTGTGGTTAGAAATGGGGCCTGTAGGGGCTGTGGCAGAGAAAATCCCAGCACCCAGAGCCCAGAGGTGAGGCTGCCTGCTGACACCTGGGGCTGTAGCAGAGCACTGGGCTGGAGTAAGCCTGCATTGGCAGTGCCTGGGAAGGGTTCAGAGAGCAGTGCTTTGTGATATCTCTTGGACTTTCACAGCCCTGGGTCATCAGTCTGAGCTGCACGCTGCATGTCTGCCTCCTTGGGCACGCGAGAAAATTGTCGCAGGACTTTTTCACCTTCTCCTATCTTTTTCCCTCCCCAAGGTGAAATTCTGATGCAGATGTCTGACACGCAGAGACTACTGAGCTCTGATTTGGAAGTTGTGGTGAGTGGTTTTCCCAAGGGCTGGTGGAGGTGGAGAATAAAGTGATTTCCTTAGATAGGGCTTATCAGCATTTACCATGTTCACCCCATCAGCTGCCCTCACACATGCCTGCAGGCAGGTGCCTGCCTCCCTGCTGCACGTGGCAGAGGAGGCTTACAGGGCTGGCATGCCCAGGGCCTGGCTGTGCATAAAACTTGCTCAGCACGTTCTATGAGCCACGCCTTATCACAGCTCATGCAACATCCCATATGGTGAAAGGATAAAGGTGATGGTTCCTTCGCCTCTTTCAGGCTCAGACCTTCCACGTGGACCTGCTGCAGCATATGGAGAAAAACAGCAAAATGGATGTGCAGTTTATCAGTGTAAGTAATGAACTCCCTTCTCCTCCTCAGCTCTCTTGCTTCCCTCTCCCCTTCACCCAAGGGTTTTTGCTTCAACACTTGAGGTGTTTCCGTGATTATTCTCAGCAGGAGATAGGAGGTCTTCTCCCATCATGGAACAAACTCCCCTTTTTCAGCTGATGATGGAGAGCTAAAGAGGGCAGGTGGCTGTTCTTTATGCAGGGGGACTTGCCAAATGCTTCAGTGGGGCTGAGAGACTCAGCATTCCAAAAGCAGAGTTCCCAGCTACCCCAAGCCACAGGCTCTGCTTGTCTGTGGGTCCTATGCTGCCATGGCCCAGCTGGCCATGCTGGTGGGTAGTGTCACAGGGGAAGACAGAGGCCTTCTTGGGACCCAGTGCTGGGGCAGATGGGTGACAGTCCTTGCTCCTGAGACCTGGAGGTTCATCAGCACTCTTGGGCCATTTAAAATTAAAAGAAAGGCAAAGAAAGACATTTCATAGGAGGTCCAGGTGAAGCCTGGTTGCAGGTGGACTCAGATGTCCAACAACCCATCAGAGCAGGACCCTTGCTGCCTCACAGTGTGGCTGGGTCTCTGGTTCCTTACTGAGCCTGTTTTCTCCCTGGCAGGAGAGCCAGAAGCAGTATGAGCTGGAATACCAACGAAGAGCCACCAACCTGGATAAGTGCATGGCAGAGCTGTGGAGAATGGAGAGGGCTCGTGACAAAAATGCCCGGGAGATGAAGGTAAGCAGTGATTGCAGGAAGAGGAGCTGGTAATAGGAACTAGATGATTTTTTGGGAGCTGGGGCTGATTTCTCAGCAGGCTTAGCTGAGGGGTTGCCCCAGTTTTCAAAAGGCAGCAGGCTTATCTGGAAAGCAGGAAACTCCTATTCTACAGGGTGCTGCTGACCTGTGGTACTCACTCCTGCCAAGCCCTTTCCTCATTTAGGAAGTCTCAGGAAGCAAGGACTTAATCCCCAGCAGTCTGCTCTAGCTCCTCTCTGCTGCTCCAGCGTGCAAGTGGACTGGGATGATGACAGACATGATGACCCCTTCCAACCCTTCCCCTGAGTCCACTCTGCTGGATTTTCACTGATCTCTTCCTCCCTTTTTTCCCCCTGTGACACAGGAGAATGTGATCCGACTGCGCTCGGAGATGCAGGTGTTCGTCTCTGAGAGCCAGAGGGAGGCTGAGCTGGAGGAGAAACGCCGCTACCGCTTCCTGGCCGAAAAGCACCAGATGCTCTACAACACTCTCCTCCAGTTTTACAGCAGGGTACAGCCCTGACACGCTGGGGAGCAGAGCTGGGGGAGCAGACAGCAGGGCTGGAGAGGGAGCATGCAGGCAGGAGGGAGCCAGGGCTGAGCCATTCTTTAGCTGAAGGACACATCTGTGCATGGACTGGGCAGGAAACGGTTTTGTTTCTTGCTGTGAGGTTCAGGCTGGCAGTACTAGGCTGGGAGAAGATGTCTGGGGCTGAGGATGGTGCTGGCATGGGGCTAGTTGGGTATGTGAGTGATGGAGGAGGGAAGGGTGCTTTAGGTGTTTACAGCAGGGTTGTTGGTACCAGAGGATCTCTGCTGGAGGGTGCCATCCTGGAAATTCCTGCCTACAGGGAGTTGCTTGGCCATTCCCACAAACCTAATTGGAGGAGGACCTGGTCTCTAATGTATCTGTAAGCCCTAGGCTTCCTCTGTAGCTGGTCTGCCCTGTCCATCACCCCCTCTTCTCTTCTCTTTCTCCCCAGGCTCGGGGCATGATCCAGACCAAGGCACCACGGTGGAAGGAGCAGCTGGAAGCCAGCCGTAACCCCTCAAACAGCCACTCACAGGGGCTGCTCTCAGCCTCCCATGGCCAGGGGTATCCATCAGGACGGCTCACACCCACCCACCTCGAGATGGTGAGGAGCCCACAGACAGCTTAACCTTGTTTGGTGAAATATTGGAACAGGTGGCCCAGAGAGGGCGTGGATGCCCCATCCCTGGGAACATTTAAGGTCAGATTGAACTGAGCTGTGAGCAACTTGATCTGATTGAAGGCATCCCTGCTCATTGCAGGCAGTTGGACTAGATCTCCTTTAAAGGTCCCTTCAAACCCAAAATATTCAATGGTTCTTTGGTGGTGGGGCTGCAGGGCAAGGTCAGTCCTTGGGCAGCGATGGTGCTTGCTGCCTTGTCCAGCTCCAGTGGCCTTTCCTGGCCAAGAGGAAGAGTAGCCTTTGTGTGGGCTGCAATGGAGGAATGTGCTGAGTTTGGCTTTCTAAGAGGGACTGCACATCTCTCAGAGCATCTCCTGCCTAACACAGCCTTTGTGGATGTGTGGTCATCCCCCTTTCTTTCCAACAGCCCCAGAGACCCCTTGGGGATTTTTCTCCTTCTGTGACTGGGAGTAGATCCAGCATCTTCTCTCCGGACCCTCCAGAAATGAGAATGTCTCCTCAGCCGGAGTCTCCCAGGCGGCCACTGCGGAGGACACCATCAGCAGCCAGTATGACCCGTATCTGGGAGCAGTGCTGTGGGGAGACACAGGGGTTGGACCTCTCTGGGAAGAGGGTTGGGTTTGGGAAGGGACCACCACTCTAGCATACCACCAGACCTCAGCAGCTGCATTCCTGGGCATGGTGAGAGGACAGTGCCTACGGGAGCTGTAGAGGGCAAGGCTGAAGTAGGAGGTGAGCTCAGCCTTCAGGGCAGAGTCCACCCAGGGCAAGGCCAGGCTGTGTGAGGTGGGGAACCTGCAAACGTGCAAGTCTCAAGGCTCCTTGAACGACAAGAACTTGTTCTTGCTAGAATTATCATTTTAGTAAAGCAGCTTCTCTCATACTACCAGATAAAATATTAGCTTGCCCTGTGAAACCCAGCCACTTAACCCATGACATGCCTTCTTTTCCTTCCTGAGACATTTCAGCTTAAAGCTTTTAAAAGAAGTATAAAAAGGACAGGGAGAGAGAGAAATTACCCAAATAATCAGTAGCTCTAGCAGGTCAGGAAGAGGACTGTCAGGCAGGGAGGGCATCAGCCAGGACATGCAGTACTTATGCTCTACCCGTTTGGCCAAAGAGGACACAGTGCAAAACAAAAGTCTTTTGGCTTGAGTTGATTGTCTCCTGCAGGATGCTTACCCTGCTTTTTTCCCATGCTACTCTTTGCACTCTCCCTGGAAGGTCACCTGCTCCTCCACTAGAGTAATTACTTGACTGGGAAAGCACTTGTCCCTTTGAGGCAGTGTGGGTGGTGCAGGAGGATGCCAGACTCCAGCCAGACCCTTGGGATGCCTCCCCACAGGTTTGCTCGCTACGGGCCGCACGTCCCGTTCGGGTTCCTTTGGCGAGGCCAGCAGTGGCAGTGAGGGCAGGAAGAGGAGCGGCACAACAAGAGTTCAGGCCATTGTGCCCCACACGACGGGTGCCAACCGGACCCTGCTGCGGTTTGAGCCCGGGGATGTCATCACGGTGCTGAGGCCAGAGGCGCAGAATGGCTGGCTCTACGGCAAACTGGAAGGCTCATCCACGTACGTGACTCTGCTGCCGTAAATTGGCCAGATGCAGGCTTGTTGAGTCTGGAGCTGGAAGAGTTAAGCCCAAAATCATCACACCACCCCCTTGCCTCCTGGTGTGGCCTGGGCAGTGTGTTCCACCCACCATCTCAGTGGGGCAATGCTGTGTCCTCAGTGATGGGGGCTCACTGTGCCAAGAAGATGCAGTGTGGCAAGGCTGACGTGGATGGGCTGACTGAGAAACCCCCAGGGGCTTTGGGTGGAAGAGCCAAGGATGTAGTGGCTTCTGGCCTGCACGACTGAGTGACTGCTGTCATGGGATCCAGCTCAGGGCCATGAACTGCTGGAGTTATCTGAGAGGCCTGGCATTTCTTAGCTCATGCTGCAACTGCTGCCACAGCCTCCAGCACAGGCAGAGCATGGAAACTGCTGCACCCAGCACATACTGAATTACTCCCTGTGGCACTGCCAGCCAACATCTGTGTGTAAAGCCTGCCCTGTTCCACACAGGACATGGTCTGCAGGAATGCTCACAGATGTGAGATGAGCAAAAGCAGTGCCTTTCTTTGGGCAGCTGCTTCTGGAGTGGAGCTGTTGTAAAGTCCCTGGACGAGTTTTCCACAGCTTCCTTGTGATTGTGGTTGGTTGGGGTGTCTCTTGCTGGATTGCACCAACATTACTGCCAGGAGCACAGCTCCTGAGATAAGCAAGTCCTGCTCCAAGCTCAAGGTCTGCCCCATCATAACCCCTGTGCCCCACCTATGGGTGAAAGAAGCGCAGGAACCCTGTCACGCATGGTAGTAGCAAATGTGGCTTGACTGATGTGTGGGATGAGTGCAGATCAGAAGTGTTTGGCAACTGGATCTGAAGAAACACAAACCACGGTTGCCTGGACCTCATTTGTCTTTGTTCCTGTGCCCTAGGTGTGGCTGGTTCCCTGAAGCTTATGTCAAGCCTTTGGAGAATACGAGGGAGATGGAGGAGCCAGACACCAGGTAACAGGATGGCAATTGGCCAGGCTGGAGCTCCTGGTACACCATGAATGCCAGCAGGGTAATTGTTTAGAATGTGCCCCAAGGCAGGGCTCCCATGCTGGAGATCCTGCCAAGAGCCTCACTGTGTCCTGGGATCTCACAGGCTTCCCTAGGCAGCTCCCATAACTTGTGCAATGTCATCTCAAAGGTTCTTGTACCTGGGCTGGTCCAAGGCACGTGTATCCTCCAGAGACATCCCATGTTGTGCTAGCACCTGTGCTGCTCCCTGATCCTTGCCCTTTGACTCCCACCTCACTGTCTTCTCTTGCTCAGGTCCTTCCCACTGCGAAGCAGTCACAGTATGGATGACATCCTGGACCGTCCCAGCACTCTGTCCTCCAGCAATTATTGGCCTGCTGCTGCCCAGCCCAGCTTGCCAAACCCACCTCCCCTCTCAGTGGGTGCCAGCAGTCACCAGAGTGGGGCGGCTGCCCCAGTCAATTCTGGCTCCAAGGTGAGTGCAGGAGCAGTGTTTGTGAAGTGGGCCACATCTGACTTTCATCCTCTAAGGCACACCTTTTCTGCTTTGGCCAATAGAGACAGAAAATCACCTTTCTGATGTTGGAGAAGGGGCCTGCTGCTTTCCCGGTTCTTGTTAGCACCAGTCTGTCTCATCCAGTCGGTTCACATGCCACCTGATGACCCCTGCCAGTCTTCCTGTAGTGTGCAGATCCTCGGTGCCTGGCTTTGCTCCCTCAAGGGACTGCTTTTCTGCCCCTGCCCTTCTCATCTCTCTCTCTTTTTGCTCACCAGGGACCCTTCAGTTCAGTCCTTTCCTCCATGACCTCCCAGCCTGATTTCTGGTGGCTCAAGGGCAGCACTTCCTGCTAATAGTAGGACCATGGAGTGACCAGGCTGGTCTGGGAGTGAGTGACCAGCTAACAGAGATGCCATCCTTCTTCTCCCTTCAGGGAGTGGAGAGGAGTTTCACAGGGTTCTTCTTTTAAATTCAGACAAGGGTTGGCTTAAAGTCATAGCTGGGGTAGGAAAAAGCTGGAAGCAAAGGCTGAGGGTACAGCTATTTTTGAGAGCCTTAGAACAGGTTGTGTCCAACCCATGGCTTATGGATGGCATACTGAGAAGGAAGTCCTGCACTTATTGCTTCCAGCAGTAGGGAATTGACAAGGGAGAACCAAGTTAAATGTGAGGACCTGGGGAAGGAAAGAACAGTGCTGCCTGTGGGGCATTACTTGCTCAGTCTCACAGAGGGCCAGAAAACCTTTTCCAAAGTCACTGGTTCCAGGCCAGCACAAGGTTGCAAGCAATTGGATGTCTCAAAGAACTGAAAACTGCAACATTTAATTACTCTTTTTTTTCCCTTTATGTCCTGCTCTGTAGTTTCAGGTAGCCTCAGGCTGCACAACACAGGGGAACAGACTCTGCAGCCTTTCTGTCCCTCTGGGCCACTGGGTTTCCATCCTGTCCCAGGGCTAGGGTGTAGGGATAGACCTGGGATTGAGTCATGAATTGTGTGCAGCATTTGGAGCAGCATGGCAGAGTGTGGAACCTCACTAGAGAGCAGGGAAAGACTAATTTGGAAAGACTCAGCCTTGCTTTAAATGTATGCCCAAGACATCCTCCCGCTGAGCCGCAAACGAATGGGTGTGACTTCCCAACTGGACCCCAGATAGCCACGTGTGGCTTTCTTGTCTGCCACCAGAGTACTTTAGCAGGTCAGTTGTCACTGATCCTTCACTAACTACTGGCCATGAATAAGGGCCACTTGAGGTCCAACTTTGTCCATCAAGTTTGTCCACTTTTAAGTAGTATGTGGTGTAGGGTAGGTAGGTACAGCTCTGGAGTTCCCCATGGATGCAGGAAACACACGAGGGCGTGGACTACAGACTGTTTGCCAGGGTGTGTGGGCAACATGAGGGGGCATCTCTGGCTGTGCTGGAGGGTGAAATGTAGCTCAGACTGTCGCTGTTTGCTGTGCTCCTTGGGTATGACATTTTGGGGATCTGAGTCACCTCCTTTCTTCCCCAAAACAAAAGATGTCCTGAGGGAGTAAGGAACGTGCGGTGTAGGGACCACCCCCCACAACAAAATTCAGGATATTATCTACAGTGGGGAATTTGTGGACTTTTGCAAAGCTTGAATGAATAAGGAGTCAGAGCCCTGTGAAGAGGACTGGGGCTCCTAACTCACCTAAGTGTTTTGTGAAATCTTCCTCCATGTGTGCGGTGTCTCCTGCCCTACTTTTCTCTCTCCATTCCCCACTCCAGATTTCTCACTGTTGCTTTTCTTTTCACTGCAGAAATCAGGAGTATTTGACCAGCCCCCTGAACTCTTCCCACGGTGAGTAAGATGTGGAACTCTGCTCTGGAATCATCTGACAGAGGGGAGTATTATTACAATGCTATTATTATTTAATATTTTGGATTGTCAAATGTGGGAGGAACAAGGAAGTGTCTGAGGAAAAGCAATGCACAGCCTGCCTACCTTCTAGGACAGGAGGCAGAGGTGGTCCTTTCTGGCCTCTGCTGACTGGGAAGGTCCTATTCTAACTCAGATAAAATGAGGTAGGACCTGAGCACCCTGAACACATGTCCAAACTGGCATGCTCCTTCCCATCCATCCTGGAAGGGTCACAATAGCAGCTCGCAGCCTGAGTGTGGAGCTACACGACTGTGCATCTCTGCCTGCTTGGAAAGGGCTGAGGCATAAAAGGACGTGGCTTTGAGTTCTGTTGAGTCAGGTCTGTGGAGATGAGACTTGCCATAAATCCCTGGTTTTCTTCCCCCTGCACCTCAGTTGGTGTCTCCGTGTTTTTGGTGTGGTGCTGCGGCCTTTTTCTGTTCCCCGACTCCTTGCTTGGAGGATTTGTGTACACTCTTCAAGTGCAGAGTGCTAATATGAGGGACAGCCATGTGCTAGCTTCCTCATCCTTTGGAAGAGGGAGGGTGGGAAGACCTGAGGAGAGCCCAAGGGGAGCCACATGGGAATGTGCAGCAGGGTGTGTTAAGGATGGAGAAAACATACCCAGGAATGAGCTTTACCACGCTCTCCTCCTTGGCATGGAGGTGACTGCAACAGGATTGAGTAGCTTTTGCTTGGTCATGGAGATCCCTGCATGGCATTTGCAGACTTTCTGACAGTTTCCTGTTTCCTGTCCCATTCCAGAGGTACCAACCCTTTTGCCACAGTCAAGCTGCGCCCCACAGTCACCAACGACCGCTCGGCACCCATCATCCGGTGAAAAAGGGGCTGGAGACAGTGAAGAATTTCAGCAGAGAAGGAGGAGAAGTGATAATGCTGTGACCTCCAGCTGTGCAGCAACCTAGTGCTACCACTCATGGAGTGAACTCTCTTTTCCCCTCCCACACCTCTGGGACAACAGGACCCATCTCACCTGGGTGTCTGCTGTGCTTTAGCCAGGAGCAGATCTCTGCTGCCCTTTCTGGATTCATCCCTGCTTCCCTCCCCTTGTGGTGTTGCTGTACTTGAGTGGGAGGGAGCAGTCTGGTGTTACTGGTGCAGGTGGCCTGGGAGAGGGGATGATGCTCTAGATGGAGGTAGGGCTGGCTAAGATCATCTGCAGCCAGGGCAGTGCTGTTGGGATGTTGAAGGTGAAGCTTTGCTATCCCTGCTGTGAGCAGAAAAAAACTCTCACCAAACAGTTCCTTTGCCACCAGAAGAACAAACTCCAAAAGAGAAGGCTACAAGAAGGCTTCCAGTGATGTGGTCCAGCTGACAGGGTTTTGTCTTGGCCTCTTTGACAGCTGTGTCCATTTGTAGCAGCACCTGCCCCTTCTCACCCCAACTACAGCCCCTTACCTTGCTGGGCAGTGCTGGGGCAAGGCAGGGGCAGGTGACAGTGTCCAGCACCACTGCCCTGTTCCTTCATGTACTGTCCTGTGGAAAACATATGTTGTTTTTTTTTAAATAAAATGGAGAATGCATCTTCTGTGCTCATTTCAGTGGCTGGGACATCACCTCAGTCACAGCATGCAGGGGGAGGAGGACAGGCGCTCCCCACCTGCACTGGGGCCATGATGGCTGCCCACGGTTGTGGTGCTGGACACTGCAGTGCCAGTGAGTCCAGAAGGGGCAGCCACCCTCTCAGGGGTCTGGGGTGGATGTGGAGGGCACCAGGAGGGCTGCACTGCCCATTGTTGGCTGCTCTCCTGAGTCCCCCTCTCTGTCCTGTTACAGCAAGCACCTGTGGCGCCCTTCTCCTCACCCTCTGCTGGAACGTATACCCAGGGCAGCCCAGGGCTGCTCAGTGCAGGGGGAAAACATTCCCCTAGGGCCTGTGGGGGCCTCAGCAATCTGGGAATACCCTACATGTGCTGGGGGAGCCCTCACGGGAGAGGCAGCGTGAGTGAGGGATGGAACGCTAACGATGGCCAGGGCTTAGCTGATTAACCTTATTAATAGACATTAAACCCTGGCTGTGAGTATGGTCAGGCCCCCGCGGCCCCCCTGCTGCTGAGGGGCTTCAGGGGTTTAGAGCCCAGGCCTTTTCCTCCCCAAAACACCACCTGGGCTGAGTCCCAGCCCCCTCCCTGGAAGTAAAAGTGTTCCCCCAGCATGTGGCCAGAGACTGGCTCATCCCCAGACCTCCTTCTGCAAGTCAGCTGCTGGGGAGGTTGTTTTGGAGGGGGGGGTGGTTGAGGTGCCCGGGGTGGGCAGGATCTGGTCGTTTGAGCCATGGCTGGCAGCGATTCCTTGGCTGCTCCACCTTGTCTCACTTCTCTGCTGGGCACATGCCCTGCAAAACCACACCACCACTTCTCCATCATGGCTTGCCAGTTGAGGAAGCTTCAAAAGCAGCCACTTCGCCTATTTTGGCCCTTACTGAAGCATGGGCACACGGTCTCCTCCTCCACTGTCTCCTTCCCCATCATCCTTGCTATCCCCAGCACCCCTCACCTTCACCCTGCTTCTTCCTGTCTTGGTCCCTCTGAATCTATCCCTGCCAGCCTGCCCTGCTGTGCTGGGGAAAACTCAAGGAGCCCCTGGGCAGCAGGATTACCGGGGGATTCGGGCTGTGGCAGGCAGCCACCTCATCCCCATTGGCTGGAAAAGCCTCTTAAAAGTGGAGAAGTGCTTTCTGCCCGCTCAGCACCTGCTGGTCTCTGCCGACCTGAAACCATAAGCAGCTCCTGACCCACATCCACACTGGGAGTGCTGTGGGACACTACTTGCACCCACAGGAGGCAAGAGGGTGCCCCACACAGGGTGTCCCCCCAGATCTGCCACAGACAGCTTTGCTGGGCATCACTGGAACTGGAGGGAAGCAAGCTGAGAGGGGGATTAGCTGTCTTGTGAGGACGTAGCTGCTCCGAAGGAAGGAGCGGAGGACAAGAGACTGCTCGACAGGCGCTAGATTCCTGCAGGCATTGTCCTGTGCCCACCATGGAGAAAAGATCCAGCAGGACCATCTAACCAGGCGCCCTCATCCAGAGCCGGGAAGTGCCAGCCAGTGGGAGAAGGAAGCGCTGTTGACTGAGATCTGCTTAACCCTTCAAGGCTCAGCTTGTGCTTGGGAGGTCAGCGCTTCTTTCCACAGGTCAGTGGTGTGGAGGGATGGTGGCTCCAGCAGCTGGTAGGACAACTCATCCCTGGCCTGTACTCCTTTAATTCTCTAACAAATGCTTTCCCAGAGGGTTGTCTTTGGGTTGGAGAGGCTGGTGGCAGGAACTGTGGCCTTTGCACTCAATAAATGGACTCCCCACCCCATCTGTACTGCGTGGAGTCACTAAGAGCATTTACATGGGCCCTCGTGGGTGCAGCTTGTCTGGCACAGTGGGGGTTTGCTGGGCATTCTCCAGCACTGGCTGCACTGTGCTCTGTGTGTCCAGGCACTGAACAGCTGAACCTGCTGTGGTCTTCACCCTTCTAGCCTGGGCTTGTGCCTCCTGGTGTTGGTGCAAGTCTTCCTGCAGCCAGCTGCAGCAAGGCCTGTGGCAGTGCCTGCTCTGGCCCACCTCCCTGTGATGCACGGGGAAGGGCAGATGCCCATGCTGATGAGCTTTTAGGTGTATGTGAGCTCACACACGGTGTTTTTACCTGTGAATAAAGCTCCTTAACTGGGGACAAAGTGACGGTGGGCTGTACAGTGCGCAAAGGCAGGTGCTGGGTATGTGGTGTGACCGCTGAGAGCAGCTGTGAGCAGACAGGCATGTGTGTCATGGTGTTAGGAGCAAGGCAGCTCTTAACTGCCTGGCTCACAGCTGGCATAAATCTCCAGAAGAGGTGTGCTTTGGCATATTGGCCTTGGAGGCATCTCCTCAGGTGAGCTCCTCTGGTGCGCCCCATAATTTTCAGCCAACATCTAGCTGCAGGCAGGTAAAAGTGCTCTCATGCTTTGCTATACAGTGTTCTGTAGCACTGAGCAAGTAGCTCCTGCAGAGGTGCCCTCCAGCTCCAAACTCAAGAACCCATGGATATTTGTCTAATGTGCTCTTCAAAACCTGATGCCACAGGCTCATCATTGACAGGCGGCGCTACAAAATCTCTGAAGAGCACATCACAGACAAATATTTTCTTGCTAGGATGCTGGCAGGGAGTGGCAGGGTTGAGGGAAAGATGAATTGCAACAGTTTGATTGATTAATTTAATTTGTGGTGCAGGATGAGCTCAAGAAAAGCAAGGCTGGGAGAGGGGCTTGGATAAAAAGTCTCAGGCTATGTTTGGTGGCAACTCTTATTTGAAGTAGCTATGTGCAGCAGATGGTGCAGTGGTGGAGCACCAGCACTGATGGAGAAATCACTGTGCTTTGGCAGCAGGTCACCTTTTGTACTAGACCTAGCTTGTCAGTCAGCTGGAGCTGGCACGGGAACAGTGGGCAAAATGGCAGAAACTGAGGGAGGCTATTCAGTCTGGCTGTCAGGGTTCCAGTGATCCAGAAAACACCAGTAAGGGTGAGATGGGGGAGGTAGGGGTAGATGGAGAGTGTATAATTATTCTTTTCTTCCTTGTAGTGACCCCTTGCCTAAAGAAGACCTTTATATCCCACTGTTTTCAGTTCATGCCTCTGTCCCTGAGACCTGGGCTGGGAAGGAGAGATTAGAGTAGCCTGTGCTGGCCCCAGTAGCTCAGCAAAAGAGCTGCTAGGAAACAGCCATCCAGAACTGTTGCCCCAATCCATGCTCTGAGCCAGATTCAGCTCCCTTTTTTCGTGGCTCACAGCATCCTGAAAGTTCAGGAAACTCTGCTGCAGGGACCCACAGTGGTGGCAGGCATCTGTGTGCTGCACTCTGTTTTCAGGAGCAAAGGCCCCCAGGAGAGGGGAAGGAGGGGTATGGCTGAGGGTGGCTGTGGGGTAGGACCACTCTTGCCAAGTAAGGGCCCTCTGCCTGGGATCTGCCCCAGCTTGTGCCATCCACGCTTTTGTCTAAAGGATTTTCGCTTCTCTGACAGTCAGGGCAACAGCAAATACAGGGATCAGCTCAGCTCACCCCCTTTGCTTGGAGGACACCAACAACAGGGACTTCCTTGAGAAATGCACCCAGATCCAAAACTGCCAGGTTCTAGCTATGTGTGTCACATCCATAAGACAGTCCCTGTCCCCTCGGCACTCTTTGGTCCGTATGTGACTCCTGGAATTTCCCAGAACTGCTGGTGCCAAGAGATGAGGATGCTGTTGCCATCCTGCAGTCCTTCAGCCAAGAGAGCTGGGCAGGAGACAGGACCCTTGTTAGGAGTGTGCTGCCAGCAAGAGACTGATAGAAGACAAACCGGACCCCAAAAAAGCCCAGTTCAGGCATGGAGAATGCCTGTCTAATCTACTTGGGACCATCTGTAGTCTAGGTCCAGTGATGGCTTTGCGTACAGGTGTGAAAACAATGCTGGCTGACCAAGAGACTGTGGCCAATGGTGCTGGAAGGGGCAGAGACCTGGTACCTAAGGGAGAAATGAAATGCATACCCATAGCAGGCAGCTGGAGCAAAATTCCTGGGCAGCTTAAGAGCCCTGAGAGCAACTCACAAGACATCCCCTCTAATTCCCTCCTCCTCCCCACTTAGGCTTTGTTCCGGCCCCTTCATGTAGGTACAGAGCCCTAATCTCTCTGGCATGCAAATAACCACTGTTTTTTGAGCTCTCCCCCTTCACCTATTTCAGAAATCTGGCCCCTGATGGCGGGGAGGGGAGGGAGAAGGAGAGTGCCATGCACTGGGGCCTCCTAGAGGAAAGCACAGAGGGTTTAATGGATCTCTTGGCCTCACTGCTGGAGGCTCCTATGGCAGGGCACGTCCTGGAGGGCTCCCCACAGGAGCAGACCAGCATAGGAGAGGCTCAAAGGCAGATTTTAAGAAATAAAAAGGGTTGACATTGCTGGTCTTTGCCTCACACCATCTGTAAGCAAGGCTGGATATGAAGCAAGGGGGATCTGAATGTTGCAGATCCTGATGCTGCATCAGACACAGCACTCCAGGCTCACCTGG